CGCTCCCGGGAGCCCAGTGGCCCAGGCGCCAGAGCTCGCGGGTTAAGAGCTGGAGAGCAGTGGGCAGAGGAGGGCGGAGCCCCGGGCACTCGTCACGCCCCCAAACCCCCTTCTTTCCCTTCCGAAACCCCCTAGCTCTGGGGGTGCCTGGCCGGAGCGCTGCGGGTGTCTTCCCGAGGCACACCCGTTGCTGCGGACAAACAGAGTTGGGGACGGGGGTCCGACTCCTGCGTCCTACCCTGGGTGCCACCTCCCTGCTGGGCGTTGTTGCATTGAGCCACTTTGGCGAAGCGCTTCACAGCTTTGCACGCCTCGCCAATGATCGCCGTCCTTAAGAATGACAGCCATCCTAAACAGGTCCCGAAACCTCTCAGCGAGGACACCTTGGGGTCATCACTGCTTTAACTCAAATTGAGTCTGTCTTTCTGCTAGGTGCGGCTGAGGGTGGGTCCCTCTGACCGGAGTTTCAGGCAGGGGAACCGGCTGAGTCTTGCACTGGCCACCCACCCCTCTCCCTTGAGTGTCAAAGCCCAGCTCCCCAAGCAGTGTGCCGAATTCCCCCCTGCTTTGTTTCTGAGCTGTGCATCTAGGCAGGAGGTCGCCCTCAGCTGCCGGCCTCAGGGGCTGGACAGGTCGTCAGTGACTTACAGAACGGGAGGGGCACTGCAGGAGCAGATTGCCTGCATTTGTGCGTGTGGGCGACCCTTTCACCTCCACCCTGTGTCCTTTGGCTGTTTTCTGCCAGGTTGTTTTGTTTTTTCCTGTATTCCAATTTAAAAATTCCTTTTTGCCTTTATTTTTAAGCAAGGCTCACAGGCCAATATTTTCCTTTTGATATTTATAATATTACTGCTCAGTGTTACCCCCACTGCCCTTGGGCTTCACCCCAGCTATCACCAGGGAGGAGTTTCCCATCTCTTTTTCTTTCTTTTTCTTTCCCATTCCTGGAGGGAGAAGTAAATTCTTGGACATATTTTCAAAAAGCAAAAATCCACATGCATAAGCTAGCCATTATGAAAAAGGATGAGGAGTTCAAAGTAAGAAAATCTCCCTGTGACCCTGCTGCCACCCTTGGTGACCTGTGACTGGGTTCCTCTTCCAGGTCCCCAGGGCAGGACCTGTTTAGCCAGGATGGGTCCTGCCTAAGTCCTCACTCATCCTGGGCCTCTTCTATCTTGTTGGATGGTCCCATTGTGCCCTGAGAGGCCATCTTGCTTCTGAAGAGACCTGTGTGGGGACCAAGCCTCAAAACAAGGTGGCTACAGGGGCCAGGGTTTAGTTCAGTGGTGCCACTGCCTGCCTCACAAGCACAAGGTCCTGAGTTCCATCCCTGGTAAAAACAACAGCAAAAAAAAAAAAAACAAAAAAACAAAAACAAAAAAACCAAGGTGGTTACAGAGAGCTCCCACTGGCAAATCCAGCCAAAGCTGCTTGACAGTTTCTCTGTTAGTGTAAAATAGTAAAAATCACAAAGGTTCTATCAGCTCAATAATGTCTTTGCCGGGCCTGGTTTACTTCATTACTGATTTCAAACCTTTCTTGCTAAGCCCTGAACACAGGGGCCTGTGGCTTTGCGGGAGAGGCAGAGATCCTGGTGTGCCCATGAGGCCCAAAGCTTCTAGCCTTCCTTGAAGCAGGTACAGAGGAAAAGACCTAGGTAAACTAGTTCAATGCTAGGAGGGAGTTCCCAGGCTACTTGCTCATGATTTAGGTGGTTCACATTTATGAGGAATCTCGGATCACAATTTGGTTTCAACAGGATATGAAAAAATAGCTGGGGTCAGTAACTCCCCATACTGTCAATATTCCCAGGAACATAGTGGGTGTGACCTTGTGCATTGGTCTGGCTGGATCTGGGGCTTCTGTCACATTGTAAGGTGGCCTGGAGCAGTTCCTACAAAGTAAACACTGAGGAGTTAAGAGTGCTGCCCAGCCTGAGTCAGGGACAGTTCACATCTGGCTTGTGTGTGGCTGGGGAGGGAACAGACCCGAGGACCAGGGAGCTGGACATGTTTGGGGAAAGACCTGTGGGGCAGGAATAAATAATAGCAGGTGTGATTCACTTTTGAGGCTAGTAGAATGACTAGCACTTTATTGATGAGGTAAGAGAGGCTCAGAAAGATCAAGCAGCTATTTAAGGTCACAAGCTCTACACAGATGCTCAGCAGCCTCCCAAGTCCAATCTCTATGTTTCTCCCAGACATGGTCCTGGGGACTTCTTTCCTGAGGTGTCTCTGCCCAGTTGTCGGGCTTTGGACCTTTCCTTCCCTGACTGGGGACACAAAGGACTTGGGGGTCATCATCTCAGCTCTGGATGAGGGAGCTGGGCACAAGCCTGAGTTCTGAAAGTTACCTGGGGCTGGGTGCTTACCCCAAAGAGTTTTGTGTAAGTAACCCTCCCCCCAGAATTTCCAGGGGTGGCATGAAGCACTGAGGGCCCCTGCTGGACAGACACACCAATGGCACCCCAGCTGCCCCTGCCTCAGGGGAAGAGAAGCCAGCAAGATAGGCTCACTAAGCACCAGCATGGCCACAGGTGCTTGGTCCACATGACCTCCTTCTCTCCCCAGAGTGCTTCTGGTCGATATCACTCCACCAGACTCAGCGGGGGAGGTAGTTGCCTCAGCCACATGTCAGTCAACCAGGCCTCTGGACAAAATCCAAAGCTTTGAAAACTACAAGTGGTAGCTGCTCTTCAGAGGGCCCAGTGCTGGGCCTGGGGAGCACCCTGTGCCTTGCTGCCACCAGTAACAGTGAGCCACAGCAGCACTCTTCTTTCTGTTCTGTCTCTTTTGGGTCTGTGGTCAGGGACATATGGTGCTCTGCCACCTTCTGAGAAAGCCATCAGCGGGCTCCAAGGCTCTGAGCATAGGGCAGGGCCTGAAAGTGTCTGGGTGTCTCAGGGATGGGGTGAGGGTGGAAGGCATGTGAGTAGGGAAGATAAGTCTCTGTTACCTTGGAGAGTTCCACCCAAAAGTAGAACTGTATTCAAGTTGGTGGATACCAGGTCAGGCCTTCTCTGGGATGGGTCTGCGCTGGGCACTTTCCTTGTCTGTAGACAACACCATGGGGTGGTGTTTTAGTTTTTTCAGGCTGTTTGGACAAGTCACTGTTGATGAGGCAGTTTAGAAATAGCAGGAATACATTTCTCACAGTTCTGGAGGCTACATGTTCAAGACCGAGGTCCTAGAATATTTGTCATCTGGCAAGGGTCCACTTCCTGGCTTGTGGGTTGCCTTCTCTTTGTGTCCTCACATGGGGAAGAGCTGAGGGGTCCACAGGCCTCTTTTATAAGGGTGCTACTCATGGGAATGGGCTCTGCCCTCATGACCCAGTTGCTTCCTGATGCCAGGGTCAGGGTGTAACATGTGAATTTTAGGAGGACACCAGCATTCAGATCATAGTAGGTGGCACATGGACAAGTCCTTCTACAACAAGGCTGAGGTGGGCAAAGGCTGCTCTGTGGGTTCCCATTTCTGAGCACTTGTTGGGTGACAGTGCTACACCCTGCTTTTCACTCCCTATCAGCCCACGTTCAGTAAGCTCTGGGCAAAGGAGAGACCACAGAGCAGGGCATACACAAGCCCTGCCTTTCTGAGCTTACCACAAAGTGCAGGAGATAGCTAACGATCACGCCCACATATGTGATGATGTTTGGTGCTGGATGTAGAATGCAAGGAGCCCCAAGAGCTTCCACCAGCACAGCAGCCTAGGCCTAGGGTGGGAAGCTTATGGAGGAAGTGTTCCTAGCACTAGTGGAAGTGGTTGAGCAGGTAAGGGGAAGGAGTGTCCTGGCTCAGAAACAGAATTGCAAGTATTACAGACAGGCAAGTTAGCCCGAATATAGCAGGCAGCCAGAGAGGCGCTGGACCCGAGATAGAGTCATGATGACCAGGCTTTGGTCAGATAAGCAGGAAACTTGAGGTCAAGAATTAATTAACAAGAACCAAGTGGACAGTTAAGTCCGGGGATGTAACAAGCAAGGTGGTGGATGACCACATGACTACTTGTGCCCCTGTTTATCCGGAAAACTTACTTATTTCTCACTTTGCTCTTTTAATGAACCACTTGCACAGGATAGAGACCAAGAGGCACCTGTGGCCATACTCCTGCCTCGATTCCTCATAGACCCATTTCTAGTTTATGAAAACTTGTTTTAGTCCTATAGGTGGGCTTTAGTTGACTCAGAATGGTCTGTGCCCTGATCATCTTTTCGCATCAAAGCTCTTAGACAAAGAGTCCCTGTGGTGACTCACTTCCAGATCCCCTTCTGACTATTGGGAGCTATTCTTCTCTGCTTCATAAATATTCCTCCTTTGTTCTTGACTTCATTATTGGACTTTGTGAGATACAGACCCAGATTACACTGTTACACTAGGTTTGAGAACTAACCTAAGGAGACCAGTAAGAGTCAGAGGCGCTAGAAGGGTGGGGGAGAAGGTGGAATGTGAACAGCCACAGGGGCCCTGGACAGAAGGGAATAGGCACAGTCAGGAGTTCCGGGTAACAGGGGGCCAGGAATGATGTGGCTGGGGACACTGGGGGTGCTGCAAGGCTGTGTTGAATCAGGCCCTGCAGAGAAGAGAGAGAAAGGATGCCACGCCCATGGAGTAGCAGAGAAGTCCTGGGGGAAGGAAGGCCCTTGATCTCTACCAGGAGTGATGGTTCTGGGAAGAGCTGGAAAGAAACAGGAGCAGCTGGGCTCAGGGAGAAGAGGCGGACGTCCCAGGGTAGAAAGTGTACATGGAGAGTCAGGCCCAAGAGTGGTAACCTCATCTCTTCTTGCTCACCACCTGTCCAACACGTTGCACAGAGAATTTGGCTTAAATTGGCTGAAACTTCAGAAAACATGAGACAGGAACAGGGTTGGGCCATGGGTCCTGGGAATGCAGCCTGGGCAGGTTTAGGATTGGGTGGGCTTGGCTAGGTCAGGGACCATTTCTTGAGGTTTCACTCACAATACCCCTCAGATAGCCTTTGCCACAGAGCAGGTCTCCTTAGATGATTAGGCTGGTGTTGAGGAAGAACCCAAACTTAATGGGATGACCTGGGCCCCAGGTTTTTCACTCTGTAGCTCATGTTGCTGCCTGGAGCCTCCTCCAAAGGCCTCTTGAAGAACTGGCTCTCTCTTGGATGACTAGGAACCACCTACTAGAAGCCAGGTGGCTCTCCAGTCGGGGTCGGGGAGGACAGAGGAAACCTCTGACTATGACAGTTGCTCTCAATGACTGCAGATTCTTCTTAGCATTCCTGTTTTCTGTTGGAAAAAACAGTGTATTAATGATACCTGGTTCCTCCAAATCAAGACAACTATTTTCATTTCTCCTTATTACTATTGTTGCTATTATTTGCAATACTGAAGATTGAACCCAGGGCCTTTGCACTGAGCTACTTCCCCAGCCCTTCTTATTTTTTTATTTTGAGATGGGCTCTGGCTAAATGGCCCAGGCTGTGCTTGAACTTGTGATTTTCCTGCCTCGGCTCTTAGTGTGCTGGGATTAGAGATGTGTACCACCATGCCTAGCTTCTGCATATTATTTTTTAGAACTTACATAGAAGCAAACCTATCGACTCTCTCTACTTCCAGTTCCCTGGAGTTACATGTCCATTCACTCAGCCTCAAACAAATTTTCAAAATGCCATACCCAAGCTGTCTATGCCTGCAGAGTCTGGCAGAACTGGAAGATGCACATGGGAGCTTAGGAGGTGGCAGTGAGGCCATTGCACCTGCAGGCAGTCCAGGGTGGGAGCTACAAAGGCCCTCTCCAAGGCTAGTATGAGTCCTCCCTGGGTAGCAGATAGGATAGGATAGGATAGGATAGCAGTGGAGTTTCTTCAGTCCTTGGAATACTTGGAACAGAGCCCAAAGAAATGACACTGGTATCAGACCAGAGCTGCATGAACTGATCTGGGATATTGGAGATCAGTAACACCTTGAAATCACAACACATAAAAAAGCCATAAAACCTCAATCATGCAGAGTATGAAAACCTGCTGCAAGAGAGCCTGGCATGTTTTCCTGGAGGGCAGTAGGAACTTGCTCACTTGTCTCTGGGTGCCTGGTGCCTGGCACAAGCATGGGATCACCCAGAAGGGCAGGGCGAGGACGGAGAGTGGCAGGGAAAAGCAGGTGACACCGGGAAAGCTCAGGAAGTTTGAAGGCGCCATGGGGCTCTGTTCCACTGGATTCCTAAACTTGCCACCCATGGCACAGTGTGTCTTTGGAGTAAATTGGTTTCTGTCACAACAAATAGATGATTTCCCAGCTGTTAGGCCTAGAGGAAGAGAGAGGACAAGCTCTTGGAAGGAAGGGTGAGACCTTGTGACTGCCCCACCTGCATGATGGAGGAGGACACTCCTGAAGGGCGTGGAAGTGTGACAGGAACAGGTCAAGCTGAGGAGATGGGCACCACCACAGCCTGAGGGGAGGAGGGCTGGCCCTGGACTGGATAGCCCGCTTGTCTGGGGAGCAGCTGACTACAGAAATGGCCACTGTATCACGGAGGTGCCACAGATTAATCATCATCTCTGCATCACCTGCCAGACCTGTCACTTCCCAGACTCATCACTGTCAGACCCATCATGTCCCCAGGCGCATCCACAATCCCACCATTCCCCCAACCATCATGCTCCAGATCCTGTCACATCCCAGAGCTACAACCTGTTGAAATTGCTTTAAAAACCAGGCAGAATCCCAGCTCCACCTGGTTCCCTGAGACCTTCTCCTTCCTGCCCCTACCCTCACCGGTTGTTCTGTGGGAAAGGATAACACACTCCCAGGAAGGCCTTACGACCAGTGCATCTGCAAAGGTCAGTCACTAGACTGTCTTAAAATGTTTTAAAATCTTTAAAACCACTTTAAATTCACAACAAACCCGTGTTGTGACCTGATTTAAAAGCTCCCTTCTGTTTTTCACGCACTGAGCAACTTCACATAAATGGTTTGACTTCTCTGTGTATCGGTTTCCTTTCTAGACAGTGGTGATACTAATTCCTAGGCCAGGCCTTTTTTGGGTTCCTGAGCAGCTGGTTCCAAACCTAGAAGGCTCCATTTTGCTTCCGTGGCAACCTCTGGCCTCCTGCTCTGGTACCACTAGCTCAGAGGGGCCAGGCGCTTCTGCCCACCCTACCACAGCGTCTATTGTCCTCTGAGTCCCTGCTGGGGGACATAGAAGAGGAGCATCCTGCTTACACTTTCCGTGCCACTGCCCCACCAGTTACCATCTGTGGGAGTCTCTCCTTCCCCCAGCAGCCTCCACTGCTACTGGTCGGGTAGGTACCAGCCCTCTCTCAAAGTTTCTCCTTCTTCAAATCTCTAGGGATACACAGAACAGGCTTCTTTCTTCTGGTCAGACAGTGTAAGTGGGAATGCTAGTTGCTAACTATATGACCACTAATGGCTTCTGAGCTCATCTGACAGCCCAGTAATGATGGTCCTGTTAGGTGGAAAGGTTGCCACTATTGTACATGGGAAAGTGCAGAACATAGCAAAGACCTCTGAAAATAAATACCATGACAACAAGCAGCAGCAGGTTACATTCCAGAAGATTCTGTGGCTAGCTCACAGTCTCTGTGAGGGCCTGAAAAAGCATGGAGATGTGTCCCAAGGTCTGTCTGAGAAGGAGGAGGCCCTGAGGGAGGTGCACTGCAGCCTGGCCCACTGTTGCTTGTGACAAAGTGGGAATTGATCCTCTCCCCCAGGGGAAGGGTTTCATCCCTCTCCATCATACTAACCTTTGTCTCGTTGAACTCTTTAAATTGCCAGTCCCTGGTTTGAGTGGAATTTATTTATTTATTTATTTTTAATTTATTTTTGGTTTTTTGAGACAGGGTCTCACTATGTAGTTGAGACTGACCTGGAACTCACTATGTAGCTCGGTGTGGTCTCGAACTCACAGCGATCCTCCTGCCTCAGCCTTCCGAGTGCTGGATTACAGGCCTGTACCACCACGCCCAGCTTGAGTGGAATTTACATTACTTGGTGTTCTTATTGTTGCGGTTTGGATCTAAAATGTTCCTCAAATGCCTGTAGGCCCAAGGCTTGGTCATCAACCTGTGGTATTGTTGGAAGGTGGTGGGACTTTAGGAAGTGGGGCCTAGTGGGAGGAAGTTAGGTCACTGGGGTGATGCCCTTGAAGGCAATATTGAGACCATGACCCTTCCCTCTCTTTTTTTGCTTCCTGACCACGAGGTGAATATTTTCCTTCGCCACAGGCCCAAAAGCAACAGGGCCAAGAGATCATGGACTGAAACCTCTGAATCTATGAGCCACAATAAACTTTCCCTTCCTTGAGTTGTTTATCTCAGGTATTTTGTCCAAGTGATACAAGGCTGACACATTTATACGTTTAGGTACTACTCTCACGACAATTTTATCCTTTGCAAAGACTGTTCCAGACCAGTGTTTTCGTCTGTTTTTTTTTTTTTTTTAAACATAGTAGAATTTATCAAGCTTCTTTCTGATGGTTTGTTTTCTGTGTCCTAAGAAATTCTCCCCTATCTGAAGATCATAGTTTTCCTTTTCTCATTTAGGACTTTAATCCATTTGGAAATGATGTTTGTGCATGGTGAAGGTAGAAATCCAATTTTATTTCTTTATATGATCCATCAATTTTCCCAGCAATGTTCATTGAATTGACCAGTCCTCCCCGACTGCCCAAGCACCTGCTTTCAGGTGCCTGAGACAATCTGGACCCACAAACAAGAACTCGATACCAGTAGTTGCCTCCTGGAAGGGCCACTGGGTAGATTGGGGAGAGAGGTAGAAAGAAAATTCCCCCCAATCAATTTTTTTTCTTTTGAAACTTTACTGTAATTAAATAATAAAAACAATGTTTTGTTTTAAAAACTGAAAAGGAAATAGCTTTGTCCCATGATTCCATGCTACTACTGGCAAGTTCACTTCTGCTGGAAACCAGAAGGTTCAATGGGGGAGAATTTCCACTGCGTGAACCTAGAGTGAGTTTAGGGGCTCAGTTCTGCCTGTTCTTTCTGAGTTAAGGCAGCACATTTTCACAGCTGAATAAAGAGGCTGGCTCAGAATTATAACAGGATTATGAGCTAAGCAAGCTCAGGGAGCATAATCAAATCCCCAGTAACCAAGGAAGAAAAGCAATGCACGTCCAGTTCATCAGCACTTTCAGAGAAGGAGCCTGTGGGTGCTGCTGAGCTGGTGGTCTCAGCATTAGGTGTGAAGTCACCACCCACAGTGAGGCCCGGTGGGGGCACAATGTGAACTGGGATGTGGGAACTGGGCATTCTTTTCATGTGGATACCCACTCCAGGTGATGCAGGTCACAGTATTATAACAAGACAGCTGGTTGTAAATTGGAAGGCAAGATTGGAGCTTGAATTGGACAAAGAAGGGGGTTTATGGGTACACAGCCGGCAAAAGTGCTACTGTGGCCAATGGATCAGAATACTCCTGAATCTGACTGGCATACTTAAATCATATTAAATGGTGGCTCCTCTCACAACTACAGGTAGTGCATAGTTTTGTCCAGATGGGCCGTGAGGGGGGTTCTGCTGAAGACAGGTGGTAAACTAGGCAACCCATTGTGTCTGCATCTTATTAACAGCATGTTGAGTCATTGCCAATTGAAGTGTCCTTGGCAGAAGTGGGAGTCCAGCGTTATCCTGAAAGCTTAGTCTATCACTGTGGGTCTTTTCCTTGGTTGTCAGCATGGCTGATGACCTGCAAACCAGAGGCCTTTTGGATTTCAGGATTGGGCAAGGCCTACTTGATGGACATTGCATGTGCCTTAGCACTTGCCATGTTTAGTTGCAATACTTTCTCATTTGGAAGATTTTAATTTCTGCATTGCACACCAATGAAAACATCCAGCCCATCTGAAACAAGACCAACAATCAGCACAAAGGAATGCATTTTTACCTGTTGGATTTCTGTTGTCTGGTATTAATGCTCCTCTGGCATATAGGGTTATAAGGAAGGGAGGTACCTGAGAGAGTTAACTTATGAAGAGAAGTGGTGTGCTTAGTTCACAGTTTGGGATGTTCAATGGCATAACACTGGCCTGGGCTCAGGTCTGGTGATGGCCTTGCTGGTAGAGTCTCACAATGGCCCACTGCATGGCAAGAGACAGCCAGTGCATGTGTCCACATCTGTGAGTCTTCTCTCCTTCCTGTGCTTCATGAAGCCCCCAGGGTTCAAGCACAAGGCCCTACCTGAAGGTTTTATCTAGCTCTAATCATTTTCTGAAGGCCCTGCATCTAAACACCATGGTCAGATTATATTTCCAGCCTCTTAGTACCATTAGCATATGACTTTGGGATTAACTTTTTCAGGAATTTGGGGGACAAAACATATTATATCATAGCAGAGGAGTTGTCTGGTTTTATGATTATAGGATATGATATTATCTTGGATTATAATTTTTGTGTCCTGGGGCTTGAACCCCAGGTTTTGAGCATGCTAGCTGTAGCACTGAACTTGGAAAGTGATTTTTATTTACTATGGGGAGGTTTGTAAAATTCTCTAATAATCCACACTTTGTGGGGATGGATCTGTGGAAGGAGTCAGGGGCAAAGTCTGGGTTGATTATTCATCCCCAGTTTGGAAAGAAGCGTTTTTGAGTGGTAGAAATTTAGTCTCAAATGGGTCCCTACCAGATGGGCAAGTGTCTGTCTAGCCCATGAGGCGGTCTCTAGTGAGCAGTTCCCAAGAAAGTCTGTGCCCCCTCTCTACTTCCCAGACCTCAGGAGATGCAGACAGCTGGGGGAAAAACATTAATAAAAAGAGCCTCATATCAAATGAATCTTCATAGACTGGCGGCAAGACACATCTCTCTTTAAATATGAGGCAAGGGTGATGGGCAGGATTTTTAACCAGGTGTGTAAGGTTGGGTGACAAACACCCATACCATAGTTTTCTAATGAAAATATTTACGTTAATATAATGGTAGCCAGCTGTGCATCTTAGTAGCTGTGCTGGGGGAACACAGGAATTGACCTCTGTATTTGCCCACTGGATAGATAAATGGGCAAGGCATGTTGTCAAAGTTAACAACAGGTGAATTTTTACCAACCTTACACTCCGTGTTACATTTTTATGCATTTATAATTTGTTTTATTAAATATTTTCTTTTTATTTTTCTTGTAGAATTAACCCAATTCAGTGTAACATTGCATGAAAATACACTTTTACAACTTTGAGAGGTTGAAAGTAAGTCATCAGCTGATTTGTCTACCAATGGTGACTTGGTTCACGCAAGCCAAAGAAGTTGTGACAGTGAGATGGAGCAAGACATGACAGATCAAGAAGTAGAGAATGAAGATGCTGATTCAGATGAGAAAGACAACAGTAATGTAAATAAATAGTTGACTAGTTGAAATGCTACAAAAAGGTCATGCCAGTGATCCAACTTTAGAATATTAGAAAATGTTATTAGATTCTTGCCAGGGGACAAACCTATTGGATGGAATGCCAACACTGTGATTCATTGGTGGAAATTGTTTATAACAGGCGATATACCATAAGATGTTATAAAATACACTAGTAATGAAATGCAAGTAAAATGTTCTATGTGCACCAGTACTAACACTCGGAAACATTTATCATGACACTTTACTATCTGAAATAAAAGCCTTCTGCCACTACTGTCAGTCCCAAAGGGCTCACAAGTTGCTGAGGGGATGGGGTGGGCACGCTGTCACCCAGCAGTGGACCGAGGACAGAGGAGGCTACTGCCTCCTGCAGATGAGTCCATCAGGGGCGTGACTGGGGTCCATCCTATAATGGGAGGCCTGTAGCAGTGCCAGTGTGGGGTGCTGCTTCCATGACTCAAAGAAGGATGGGAGGCTGGCCACATGGCCCACAGGCTTAGGGCCAACAAGAGCCTGGTATTTCCCTAGAGGTGCACAGCAGAGGCCACAAGGGCCCAGGCCTCAGGAACTGATGTGTGACTGGCTTGGGTCCAGAGGCTGTGGGAGGCCAGGGGCGGGATGTAGATCCTCAAGTGAGGAGCCTCTGGAGGCACTCAAGGGAGTAGTGACAGGCCAAGGCAGGGCATGCACTGGTGACAGCAGCAAGGTGTGCAGAGCAGTTGCGAAGTCACTGACAGTGAGCCCAGGTGCCATTTTTCTTCCCGGGTGGAGCCCAGCAACACTTTTTTCCAGTGGGGTCCTTGAAAGACACGGGCAATAGTTCTGCACTCAATAATAATAAAGAAACAAACATGGTGGTGCATACCTGTAATCTCAGCCCTCTGGGAGACTGAGGCAGGAGGGTCCCAAGCTCCAGCCCAGCCTGGGCAACTTAGACCCTATCTCAAAAAAAAAAAAAGGGACCCAGCATCCGAGGATCTGGGAGCTGAAACTTCACAGCTGTCCTGAAATTTTCCCTGCTCCTGATCTAGCTCACTGAAACATACGAACAATTGGAGTACATTACTAAGTAATAGATTACATGATAGATTCTAAAATTATTGTCTAGACAATACAAATATAGGGCAATATTTAAAAATTATAACCCTTAGGCATAAAAAGATCCGATCTTCACCTGACTGTGTCCTTTAGAATCACCTCCTGGTATTTTCATTCTTTAGTCTGTGCCTCTGCTGCATGGCTTTGGAATTTTGGGTCCCTCTGACTTCCTCCAACTGGCCCTGTTGGAGGATCACCATGGCAGCTTTGGTTGTCCTTGCAGGAGGTTTTGGTCCTCGAAGGAGATTTTTGGTGCAGGAAAAAGCTGTCTGCAGGTTAGTCAGGTGTAAAGCAATACATATTTGCTTTACAGTGTTAATATCTCCTTCATTACACTCAGAAATCCAAACACCTAGTTTTGACTTTGAGCATCTAATTTCAGCCAACAATTTTTTATTTTTTTGGTACGGGAAGTTGAACTCAGGTCCTTGCACTTGCAAGGCAGGCAGTAGAACCACTGAGCTAAATCCCCAGCCCTGCCAACAAATTTTTAAATCTTACATATATTACCTTACTCTTTTTTTTTTAAGTACTGGGGATCGAACTCAGGACCTTGTGCTTGCAAGGCAGGTGTGGTGCCACTGAATTAAATCCCCTGCCCTGTTATCTTGCACTTTTAGCAATCATTTTAAGGATGTCTTTATTTTTTCATAATTAAATCATTTTAAAATTTTAAAGCCATATTTATAAGTGTAATAGTTTCTATTTTGCCTTTAAGTAGCCCAGTTATTTGGCATAAAAATTTCCTGAATATTGAAATAACTGCTAGGAATCTAATAAGTTAAATGTAGTAATATGATGTGTTTTAAATTCTCTCAAGTATTCTAACACTGTTTATAATGCAGGACATTTTAACTTCAAGTCACCAATATTTTGAACTAAAAAGCATCTCCTGGGTCAAGTTCTTTTAAACTTGAAAAGACCCCAAGAATTAGTTAATTATGTATAAATTTACATGAAAAACCACTAGTATGAGTTTGGTTCTGTGCTTCATTCAACAGCTTCCAGGTGTTGGTGATTCAGAGACAGGGGACAGCAGGCAGATGGGACAGAGAAGGAGGAGGCTTCAAGGGTCACCAGACTCGTGTGTGGGGGTGCTGGCAGCCTCCATCGGGACCATCGAGGCAGCTGGCTTATAGCTGGCCACTGGTTCCCTCTCAAGGTGCGACACCAGCTTTTAAATGACTATGACAGAAGCAGGTGGCCTAAGCTAAACTGTTAGAGGGGTTTCATCACACCTGCCTGGGATCCACCAAAGGGAAACAGTGACAATCATGTGTCACAAAATGACATATCAGCCAGTGACAGGCTGGAGACTAAGGTGGTCCTGTCAGATTGTATCATCCTGTGACATCTCAGCCATCCCAGAGCAACCTGTGCAGCAGGTGCACTCTGTGCTGTTCACACAATGACAAAATCCTCAAATGATACACTTCTCAGCCTGTGTCCCTGTTGTTAATCGATGCAGGACTGAATGGCGTGTACCTACAGTGACATGGAAAGGTGAAAGGGTCCAGGACCCTTTATGGAATGGCGAGTAAGGCAGCCAGAGACCACAGACCCCGAATTTCAGGGAGGGGCCATGGCCCTGCTTTTAGGAGGGTCGAGGACCAAGTACAACCAAGAATCTGGTTCTGGGCTTCACCATCTATGGACTTGGAGAATGGGCCTACACAGTGCCAAGCTCCACTAGGATGAAAACGTTCTCTGACAGCCCATAGGGCCTGCTGAGATGGAGCTGCCTTTACTGTGTGGTCCTAACACCACGATGTCTGGTGTGTTAGTGCCTGCACACTTGCTGCCTGATGAAATCCAGAAAGGGCCTTTGAGGCCTCCCTTGCAGCAGCTGCTTTACAGGCACACTTATGTGGCAGCAACTCTTATTTGTCAACCTGGTTGAGTTACGAGACTCCTGGAGAGGGGACTGGGTCACGGGGTGCTAACTACCAGCTGCACATGCTCGCAGGAGGTAGGGCCCTGTGAGACAAGGTGCTCTGTGAGGATAGATCTCTCACTCATGCCCTTTCCTGTGCTTTGTTTTCTGGCTGCCACTAAGTGAGCAGCTTTGCTCTGCCAGGCTCTTCCACCATGACGTTCCTGCCTTGGAGCCAACAGACCATGGAATGAAGCCCCTGAAACCGTGAACCAAAATTAAACCTCCCCTCCTTGGAGTTACGCTTGTTGATTATTTTGTCTCAGTGATGGGAAAGGTGATCGGTACAACTTATAGGGACCCTCTGCGTGGATGCAGGGGGGTGGCTTTCACGGCAACTCTAAGTTCCACTTTGCTCTCACTAATGTTTCCTGTCCAACATTAGCATATCCTTTCCTGTCAAATACACCTCACTTTGGAGACAGCTTGATCATTGTGCTTTTCTTCAGATCTGTCACCGGCACAACTACAATATAGGATTCTTTTGCTTAATTCATTGTGAATCGGAAGGGTGCAGCTCTGCTAGCATTCCTGATGTCTCCAGGTAAAGCTGAATGCCTACAGGTGACACAGCCAGCTGCTGGCCGTCACCATCCTATGTGGGCTTGTACTGGACTCTGTAGGTCAACTTTACCAGATGCTGGTCTCTGCTGCTGGTGTCTGGAGCTCTTTGATGCTAACAGCTCTGAGTTTATTGATTTTTCTTTTGAAACAACTGCTCCACACCACTTAGGAAAAGAATCCTAAGAAGGCTGGGCATGGTGATGCACACCTGTGAGCCCAGCACTTGGGAGGCTGAGGCAAGAGGATTGCTGTGAGTTTGAGACCAACCTGGGCTACATAGTGAGCTCCAGGTCAGTCTCAACTACATAGTGAGACCCTGTTTCCAAAAACAAAATAAAACAACAACAACAACAACAACAAAAGAACGCTAAGAAGATTTATAGGACATTTGGAGATATGCAATAAATAAATCACTAGCAGGTTTACTGGAACACCAAAGGCAGTCTTTATTTTAATAGGACCTGAGCTGCAACACATGGGGGTCAGTACGCAGGAGGGAGCCCTCTAGACCAACCCAAGGAGTGCCTGGGCCAGAGCTTGGGTCTGTGATCTTGGAGCTTGACACTGTGCAGTACCATTCTCCATGTCCACAGATGTGAAGCCTAGAACAAGATTCTTGCTTGTACTAGTAGGTCTTCAACCCTCCTCAAGGCAGAGCCAATGGCCCCTCCCTGAAATTCAGAGTCTGTGGTCTTTGGCTGCCTTACTCACCATTCCATAAAGCATCATGGGCCCTTTTATACTGAACACTTTTCCATGTCACTGTAGGTACACACCATACAGTCTTGCGTTGATTAACAACAGGCACACGGACTGAGAAGTGTATCATTCGGGGATTTTGTCATCGTATGAACAGCACTGCAGGCCTGGGCCAGCGAGGGGCAGGGCTGAAACCAGGGAACCTTCTGGAAGTCTTGCTGCGAGGGTTGGGTGTGCACGTATGGGGCCCAGGTCCCTCCCTTCCTGATCTTAGCCAGCCAGGGTGCACCCTCCCCTCTTCAGAGAGGCAACAGTATTGCCTGAAGTGGCAGGAGTTGGGGAGGGGCACAGCACTGGCTGGCTGCACTCATGTTGGAAAGGAGAGTGGCAGCCGGATACCCAGGGAGGGTATTGGGGGAGCAAAGGGAAGTAAGGGGGAGGGATGAGACAACCACTGGCCAAGCTATGTTCCCTCCAGCTGGCAGGGGAAGATGAGTCCGGCACTTCTCATTTCTCCTCTGTCTTAGTGATGATGAAGGTTGTTCACAGACACTAAATAGCTCAGGGATAGAAGGCTGAGAGTCTCAAATTGCAAACAGCTATTTGGCAGCCAGAAGTCAGTCCCAAGATCAATCTACTCTGTCTAGTCGAGTGGTGTAAGGAGCCGACTTAAAGAGTTTAACCTGGACTTCCACAGTTTGAGGGACATGGGGACTGTTCTCAGAACCAAGCTCAAAAAAGCAGGCGCATAAATGACAGGTTGGCGTCCTGCTCTGATGCGGAAGCCCTCGTGTGCCACAGTGTGGGGAGCCAGAAAAGCTTCCCACCCACCCACAGAGAGGGCCACATGGCCCGAGGTGGCTTTAGCTCCTGGGGGAGGAAGACCACACGAAGGGCAGGCAGGGATGTCAGCTCTTCAGAGGCTGAGGCAGGATGCAGAAGAGAGCCACTTTCTTTCTCCTGTGGGATCTGCAGGCCACAAGCACCTGATCGCAGGGAAGGTGCGTGGGAAGCTCTGTGGACTCGGGATGGCACCTGTCTGGGAAAGGCAGCTGCTCACCCCTGCAGGTTTCCTGTAGCCAGGCCTCCCCTGCTTTCCTATTTCCACACCAAAGAGTCAGCAATTGCCTTGGCAGCTAGAAAGGGCCTGAGGAAGAAAGAGGTAAGTGGCTCGCTGCTGTCCTACAGTTTGAATGCCCCAAGGGCTAAAACCCTGGAGCCCAACCCTGCAGCAACGGGAAGAGGTGGGTCTCCTGGGCTGGGCTTAGGTCTTGGGAAGTGGCCTCGAAGGGGATGGTGGGGTCCTGTCCCGTTCCTCTTTCCCCTGCGCCCTGGCTCAGGGGAAGAGTGGTTTTTCTCTGTGCTATGTTTTCTCCACCAGAGGGTTAAAAGCAGTGGGTCTGCTCCCTCGTGGATCAAAATCTCTAGAACCGAAGTCAAAACCAACCTTTTCTTGTTGTAATTATCCTGGGTATTTTGTTGCAGTGATGAAGAGCTGACACTCCTACCATGCTGCCTCTCCGGGGCTGCAGCCATCCGGGCTGATGAGAGGGTGAAGTGGGAAAGAGGACCGAATACAACAAGGGATCCAGTCACTGTCACCCAAGAATGACCAGACAACCACCTGTGCTTTTCTCCTCGATAAAAGCTCATGTTGGAGGGGTAGGGCTTGGTCCAGAAAAGTAGAAGACAGAGTTCTTCCTGCTCTGACCTTGAATGCCACACAGAGCTTTGCCCCCAGTCTTGGACGGTGCCCCAGTGTCCCTCCTCAAAGTAGCCGTCCAAGAGAAAAATCACACAGTCTGTAACGTCAGCACTGTGGGAGCCTGAGGCAGGATGATCCCAAGTTCAAGTGCAACCTGGGCAATTTAGCGACTTGGCAAGATCCTGTCTCCAGAAAGCGGGTGTGGCGGGGTTGTAGTTTAGTGTGAAAAAAGTCACATGGCTGAAGTGGCCAAATAAATGTGCTAGTGGCCATGTCAGAGAGAGGAAAATGGAACAGGTGGAAGTGACTTTGATAATGCATTGTATTTAACCCAGGAATATCTAATGCATTGTCATCTAAACATGTAATTACTATAAAAATCACTGAGATTGCTGTTTTCATATCAAGTCTTTGAAATCCTGAGTGCCGTGCACCTGTAGCACTGCTCTGTTTAGACCACCCTCACTTAAGAGCTCAGGTGTTCAGGAATGGTTTTGTCTTCCAAGTGTTACAAAGTGCAGCCAGGTCTGCAGTCAGAGCTGTAGCCCTTACTTTCAGAGGAAGGCGTGAGGGGCAGTAGCACATTTACTTCCCTCAGTCTCTGCCCCACTCCCAGCCCTACGCAGGGCCAGGGCAGAACTCTGGAGGAGAAGTGTAAGATCACCAAGATCACCACTGTCAGCTGGTGTCCCTAGCAGGCCACACTTCTGTGCTGGTGATCCTGAACCTCTGCGCCTGGCATCCCTGGGAAGGACTGACTTTCCAAAGCTGGTAATCTCTGCCTTACTTCTTGTCCCTATTTTATTAGATTTTATTGTTTTGTTTTGTTTTTTTCTGTTTTGTTTTGAGACAGGGTCTCTATGTAGTTTAGGCTGGCCTTGAACTCACTATGTAGCCCAGATTGGCTTTGAACTCTCAGTGATCCTTCTGCCTCAGCCTCCTGAATGCTGGGATCACAGGTGTGAGCCACCATGCCTGACTACCCCTTGTCCCTTTTTCAATCCTGCAATCCTACCAACTACTGCAGGCAGGTTCCTGAATGAGCCCCCTCTCTCGAAGCCCTGCCATGGTCTCTGTTTTCCAGCTCCAACCCTGGCTGCTTCAGCTAGCTGGGTGGGTTTCAGGTCCTGTCTGGGCTCACTATGCCCACCTGGCCACTCTGAACCCTGGGGGACTCCCAGGCCTTCTCTCCTGGCCAGTGCGTGCTCCGCTTCCCACAGGAGAAGGTGTGGGGTCCTGACTCACAG